AACATTTAATCATATACTGTAAGTAATCATATAAACATCAAGTTATTAGCACAGGATGCAATGAATGGGCCTTTAAAACGTTAAAATACCAGTGGAGTTTGTATTGTGTACAGATGCTGAGTAGACTTAATATAAATCTGTAGATGTCATCATACTGATCTTAACTTTGATGTTTCTACTGAATACAAGTTCTGTGGTGTAAATACAATGGGACTGAACGTCCCTCCATGGACATTGATGCAATATATAACATATAAACATAACATAATGAGCTTATGTACATTTGATCAGTGGGAGATATGGAGTTTGTACCATATACACTAACAATTACGGGATTATGGGATTGCTGTTAAAATGTTCAAATCAAGGATCAATAATGATAATTAAATCCAGCCATCTGGATTACATTTGATAAATTGCTTGGTAGCATTAAACCTATAGGAGGATATGTGGACCAGCAGTCTTTAGATAAGTCACATTTTGCAGGAATAACACAAATTTTATTTGATAAAAGGGCAGAAAATGATTAAATTATTAAATTCTGCTACATATATATATTTAATGGTATAGTGTGTAGCAGTAAAGTAAATGTGATACAGCAGCAGTCACGCTAACAAATGCAAACAACGAAGAATGAATAAATGTTTCAACTATGAGGGTGTTGCATGTTTGGTGCTTGAGTTACCTGAGTGTAAAATCCCCACAATTTTATAGCACCACCTCTGACATGACAACTCATTGAGCAAACACTCAATGAGATGAGAGACAATCTGAAGGTGCATTTCAACACAATCCCCTCTGCCTCTCCTGGATCCTCAGCTTCAGGAATATCAGTCTGAGTCAGCCTGACAGCAACAGAGCAGACGCTGACGTGAAACATCCAGCTCCCAGCTCCTCCGTGAATAATTGTGCACCGCTGCCCCACTATCGTTTCCGCGGGTTACGTTGGAGGTGACATCATTTTCGTCAGACCACCTGAATGGATGCAAGTGGTTTTGTGAGATAGGGGAACACGGGTGAAAGAGGATAATCGATTAGATACACTTGCTTTGTACAAATTAAATGAGGCACTGAGAAAACATTGATATTTCACTTGGACAGATTGCTGTCTGTAAGTCGCTGCTCTTTCTCAGATTAATGTCACCAGCCACCGTAGCTGTGACTCATATGTGACTCATATGATTCTTTATTGTTATCAGTTTTCATTCAGTTTATTTTCAAGGATAGGTAATTAAAGAATGGGCCCAATGTGAGATTGCATCCTTTTGAACAATAAAACTTTTTATGTTGCGTTTTTGTTGTTTTGAGTTATAGGATAATATAGTCCTTTAAACTCTAGTCTAACGCATGACATTTACATCAAAAGGTGGTTTAATATTACAGTTATTGACATTATTGGTTAATTTCTGTTCCAAACTGTGCTTTGATTACATTAAAATCGTGTTTTTCCACACTCAAGAAAATGTTAAATGTATAGATGAATAAACATGAATAAATAAATGCACTAAATGTGGCTCGGCGACACCCAGAGTACATTTTACATGCAGGCAGACTGTGTTTATGTTTTAGTCAGAAATCACTCCCAGGTCTTTGAAACATTTTGTTCCTCGAAACTTACAGTGCCTGAGGAGTTTAAACTTTTTAAGGGAAGAGATTTCTTGCTAAAAACTATTTGACATTTATTTTAAGTCTCACTTCCGCCCTGGGGATAAATGAAAAAAGTCATTGCATTATATTGTAAAAAGAAAAGAAAAAAAAGAAACCATGAGCTCTGTTGGCATGTACTGCTTGTGAATAGAATTGGCTCCATATATTTGCAGCACCACACACTAAGGCCTATCACTACGATTCATATGTATCAGAGTGGAATAACTCCATCCATTACTTTGTTCCCTTTTTGTCAAACCTGTCACCTCGCCTCCTGAGACCACGTCCTTCTTGATATGTTAATTAGTCCATTATATACCAGTAAGTATTCTGACATTTATTTAGAATATCGACAGTAGATGGAAAATCTTGGCATGTGTGACATTAAGCAAAAGCTTTTACTGCAATCCATTTACAGAAACACCGTTGGACTGTAGATAAAATGTTTCTGCTTGTTGTATGCACTGGTATAGATTTATTAAGCTAGGATTAACAGAAATATCCTCTTTTGATTACATGAGAAGAAGTATGTGAGTAGGTTATCAGGTCACCTGTATGTACTGTAGTTTCTGTGGTTGATGTGGGAGAATTTGTGCCGATGAAGGCCTGAGGTTAGACTAAATGTTTCCAATAAATATGACAGCAGGAGGTATGTGATGCTGTGAGAAACTCATCATTCTTTTGCTGGAGTACACGACTATTTGAATTTCATAGAGCGTGTCAGGAACACTGTAAGAAGCACTTGACTGATGCAGAACAGTGCCGGATCACAATATCACAATAATTTTGCTTTTCTGTAGGAAAGGCAATCGTCTGTTTAAGCTGCTTATGTGAATGCATAAACTGGCTGCTCCCCATTATAAGCTGAAAATATTCTTTGGATCATCCAGGGGTTTGTCCTGATATGCAAAACACAAAATTAAATAAACACACACACTTGCATTGCAGAAAACATTTCAAACAAGAATAAAAGTGTACAGCTAGCAGCTCTGTAGTGTAGTGTTTTGAGCGAAATGCTAACATGCTTGGAATGACAATGTAATAGTTTAGCACAGTGGTTCTCAACCATTGACTGTTTATATAGTTCACAACCTTTTCGGTTTGTGGCCTCTAACAAAGACACAGTGTCTACGTTGTCACATTTCAGATATCTATGAGTTGTTGGCTGTTTTATTGAAGAGACATTTCCATTATAAACTCATTTAAATAAGTGTCTGAGGGCCAAGGGGGTCACATTATCCATTATCTTTGTGTATTAGATTTTTTTCTTCTTTCCTCTCCCATCAATCATCTCAAAAGCTGTCAATTTTATCAGGTGGTCCTTTGGAGGGTCCGATCCCTATGTTGGGAACCTCTGGTTTAGCAAGTTTCATGTCATCACCATAATCACCATCTCAGTTTAGCATGCTAACATTTGTTAAATAGCAATAAACATAAAGAGCATAGGGATAATATTCATTCATGTCAGTGCAGGCATTTGTACATAAAGTACTAAACAAAGTTAGCTTTTCTTTTTACCTGGTGATGGCGCTAGACAGGAGACAGGAACCATACAGTTGTCATGGGGATACATCTAAATACATGACAGACCAACCTTGCTATCCGTAGACAACACAACAACATTTCAGAAAACAGAAAAGCATTTTAGGACTCACAGCAGAATAGTTATAAGCTTTATAGTCTGGGCCTGAAGAAACAAGAAAATTGGTTGATATCGCTCTTTTTTTTGTGACAGCTTCAGTCCAGCAGACAGAACTAATCAACTGATATTAATGTGATGACACAGGACTGACAGAGTATAAACTCTACACAACTGAAATATGAAAGAAGCACTAACACTCCCCCACCGCTATGAATGTGTAGAGCGGCTGAGAGGAAAACACACAAATGTCTTGAATAACTTAAAGGTCATCAGAATAACATTTGATCCATATCCATTCTTTGTAGACAATGAAATGTGGCCAGAAATCAACATATGTATGCACGCTCGCGAAAGTAACATTAAACAAAGCCTGGGGGCATATTCCTACTTTAAAGACAGGTTTGTCTGCCTGATCAAAATCACGAGGACTTCAGAGGATATTTGGTAGAGATGAGTGTTTGGTATGATTCTCAGCACCAAATCTTAAGATAAAAATATCCAGATGATGGACTGTTTGATCTGTAGAGTCCCAGTACAGTCTTTGAAATATAAAGGTTCATGAATCATCATACTGAAGCTAATTCATGCAGTTGTTTGTCTTCTTCTAAATGTCTTATGAAATAATCATTTACATGAGATATACATGAATTGTTCATAAATGCAGTTGTATAATGGATGATATTTTTTTTATGTGTAAACTCTTACAATCTTGCAAATTAAGTGTAACATTTAGGAGGATCCAATGTTTTCATTAGTGTACAATCACCTGAAAATACCTGTTTTTGTTACCTTAGAATGAGCCGTTTTTATCTACAGGCGCTGCATGTCGCCATTCACGGAGTCTGTTATATTGAACCGCCATGTTTCTACAGTAATGACAAACCAAACACTGGCTCTAAATAGGGGCATTCAAGTTCTTTATGCGTTTCGCGGCCACCGTAGTTTCTCTTTCAAGTTTTGAAGGCTTCACTCTCTCTTTTAAAACCTGAGGGAGTTGTATATCATATTTACATTGAATCAAAAATAAATTCTGCACTGTGTCAAAAGCACTTAAAAATGAACACTGCAGCTTTAAGCACCATTTAACTCATTGTTGTGGTATTCTGGCTGCTCAGAAGTGACAAAGAGACAAAGTAAACAACAGTGCGGTGAAGAAAATCGAGCGCAGCATGCTTAAGACTTGATGAAGAACAAAACAGACCTAAAATATCAGACTTAATCAACTGGCTGGAAATGTGAATTTTAAAGAATGCTCATGTTAGTTAAATTGACATATTGAGTTTGTCTCTGTCTCTAGTGGTCAAAAATATTTTAATATTTAATATAATAATTTCATTTTATGTCCCTCTATATAGAAGACAGGTTGATGGATGTGAAAAGTTAGGTTTCTGTGTAGCAGAATATCTGAATATCCAGAAAATCTGAAAATGAATGCAGGTTCACCTCCGCACACTGTTTTGCAAATATAAGTAGTTGGTTGTATGATTTGAGTTTTTCATTTAGGGGCCATTAGACCACTGCAGAAGAACAGGGTGCAATTAAAAAAGCAGCAGTCAAAACCTACTAATAAAGAACCTGAAGAAAATATGGCATTTTTTTGTTTTTCCACTTTAGCCAAGTAGAACTTATTTTATGTGCAGACTGAAAATGTGCATAAAAAACAAGTGGATGTAAAAACATTTACTGACTGACCCTCTGTATGTGTTTGTAGGATGTAAAACAGAGTGGGACGATATTGGATGCTGGCTGAGAGCTGAAGTCGGGCAAGTGGTCAACGTATCCTGCTCTGAAGTCTTCCAGCATTTCTCCAGCAATCAAGGTTAGTTTCCATGTCAATCCCAATCCCAGCAAACACACACACACAAAAACAATTCCATTCATATAATCAATAGACTCGTTAAGGTAATATGGAAGTCCCATTCTCTGCTGGTGCACTGTCACTACTACTACTCACTATTTTTATCTGTACTGTATTATCTGCAGCTCTAATGCAGGCTGGAGTCACACTGATGAAGGAGCACTGTATGAATTATTCATGTATGTTTGTTGGCAAGGATATATATTGTGCTCTGGGAAGTTTCTGGCAGAAGAAATTACGTTAAATCTAGTCTGTAGGGTTCACACGTCACAGTCTGACATCCTCTTGGGCTGTTGTTGGATTTGTGTTTCAAGAAAGATAGTGCTGACGACACCAAGAGCGAAATATTCTTAAGTTTTAATAATGTAGTTGTGAGAGTGTTGTTGAGTAAAATAGGTTTTATATTTAGAGTTAATATCCTTTTGAAACAATATATTTATGTTGTGTTTATTAATGTATTCATTCATTCGACAAATAATTAAGGTGTTTAAAGAGTTATGTAATAAGTCATTTTAATCCATTATTAATCAATTGCATCTGTATATTAGTGTTTATAGGACAGCTAGTAAATTTTTAAATATGGGAGCCTTTGTCTTTCACTCTAAAAGCACACACACACACAGTGTAAATAAAAAAAAATGTGGGGCTGTTATATACTCTGTTGTCTTACAATTGTCATTATGATGGCATCATTAAGGAAGATAAGGTCAAGATCATTAGGGAATAATGTCCTTTCCTTCTTACCTTGATGGGAATCATGGCTCATTATGATCTGAATTGCAGATCGCTCAAACAGACCACAGTCTTGCTTTCAGCAGTGCATTTGGCAGCATTAGTCCCCATCTGCTCAGCACAAAGGGAATAACCCACTGCCATGCATTTCTGTGTGTCTTTGTTCAAACAGTCCAGCTAATGCTAGCATGCGCTACCTGCTGCATACAGACTTAGCTGTACAATCCCACCACAAACATAGCCGCACAGAAAGTGATCCAGCTGACCTGACACCTGCTGTTTCTAAATGGACATTCACCAGGACTAAATGTCAGTGGAATTGAAGAACATGAAAGTGTCAGATGTTTTCTAACTGAAAGCACTAATGGAGTGAAATGGTCCAAGAGAGGAAATGTCGGTGACGTTGTACAAATGTGCTGATATTTTTGTGCACAGGAATGACAGCTTCCTATTACAATGTAGATGCCTTTTTCCTTCTAGACCTCGTAATCCTAAAGAAGATTGAAAAAGATTTGAGATTTTATGTGTGAATGTATCAAAACAATTGAGAATCTTACAAATGAAATGTTATGACTATAACTTATGTTCCCTGAAGCAGAGGAATAAGGTACAAAACATAAGGGGCTGATATTATATATGTTGTGTCGAGTTGTTGTGTTGTGTTGAATGTCACCAGCAATTTACACCAGCATTTCACATCACAGTTAAAACTATAATATTTAACACTAGACCTATGTTATATATTGTGTTGAGTTGTGTACTAACATTATGTTACTAACACTGTTCAAATACAGAGAAATCTGATTGAGTTTTTTCAGAAGTGTTTCACTGGTCGCCTGTCAATAGTGTCATGTCCCCTTTGCACATGCATCAGCATTGTGGTCTATACTACTATAATACTCTTTTTACAATTTTTTTTAGATCTTGGTCGTTTTTAAATATATATTTCAACTGAATGAAGGATTTTAGTCATCAGAAGTTAACAGAGAAACACGCTGAGGTAACATTAGCACACATTGGCTCACAAGCCCTCTAGGACGTTCTTCGTTCAAACAGCGTCAGATAAACACTGATTTTTAAGGGGAAACTGCTTTATTCAGTGTTTTTACTGGTTTTAATTATTGTTTTGGAGAGTAGGAGACCTCTATGGGTAATTCCACTCCCAGTAGAAACCTCCTGCACGATGAACACTAAAGGAATCCTAACCAATTGAATCTGACTGCAGTGATAGCAGTGGTTGGGAAGACAACAACTCCCATCATCCCGCGCAACTTCACATCGTCAAACTTTTATTACTGTAGTAGCAGAAATTACATACTGCATGTTTTAATAAAACTATATGTTCCAAGAAGATCAAGTTAAGACAAAATGAAGATGAAGATTAAGAAAAAAGTGAAGAAGAGCAAATTGGTTGAGCTTCTAAATCAGTGCTGTATTGTAAAATCTTTGCAATGGTCAGTTCACTTGAATCCAGTTTGAATTTCTGCTATCTGCTCCCACATCAGGGTTTGTTTACAGGAACTGTACTGCTGATGGCTGGTCAGAAATGTATCCACCCTACGAGGAGGCCTGTGCTTTCAGCGATGACAGCGAGCCTGAATCTGAGGTATAAAGACATGTTGTTATAATCATGCCAATCAGTTAAGCTTATTCATATTGTTTCTGTTTCCTCTCCACTCTCCCCCCGCGCTGCTTAATTTTCAGTTCAGACCTGTTTGTAGGTTTTGGTCTTCATAATTTTTTCCATGAGAGCCACACTGACAGTCAACACACACAGTCAATAGAAGCAGAGCCACTTTTACTGCAACACATCAAAGACCATGCAATTTTGGGTGTGTGATTTGGAAATGGTACTCCAGGTTACTTTGCTTGAAAAAGGAGTGGGTTTGGTTTCATATTAAACTCAAAGGACCGCATCCATGGAGGACAAATAAAAAACATCCTCTTTCCATTTTTCTTGAAATTTTCTATGCCGTTTGCAATTTTGTTTGATTAGAATCCACTGATCCATTTTCATTTTTCATACACTACATTTTTACTAGCATGAGTCCATAGCCAACTAATGCTTCTGCACGAGTGAGCAGTTCAGTCTATTGCAGTATATTTCTAATATTTATACTAACTTCTGATCAACCCATATCAATTTCAGGCTTAAATTAACGTCTAGTTACTCTTACCCGCTTCCAGTCTAAGCACCGTCAGAGCCCACTCTGAGTACAGTTATGAATACAGTTGTAGGTCTAAGTTAATTGAACAGATAGAGATAATGGCGAACCTGCTCATCCAAAAAAAGGTAATTAAGTACCTTGGTCTGGTACCTAGAATAGGTTCCCAGTAATTAAATAATGACTACAGTATAATTTCTCTCTAAATTTCTCACAGCCGTCCAGATTATTACTAAGTACATCACATAGACCCTGTAAAATCTAATTGTCTTTCACAAGCCAACTATTTATTGAGCCATCCAGCAGCACTTTAGCTGTTGTGGTGCTCCAGAAGGCTGCCAAAACTGGCAACACTGCACTATTTAGTTTAAGTAGGTGTGAGCAGGTTTTGACAGGCCCATGTTTGTAGCCGGTACTACCATCTTGTGTATGAATTTTGCAGCTGTTTTGAGTATATTAGAAAGTATGTGTATTGGCTGAATTATGATTATTTGGTGCCATGTGAGCCGCCAATTAAAGCTTGGTGAGCAGTGCAATGATTAACAATGGTTAAGTGCAAAGCCAACATGCATTTGTGATACTTTGGTTTCAAGAATAAATGTAAACAATTTAGGTGCAGCTGTAGTTATATCAGTCCCAGTCAGATCCAGTTCCATAGCCATTTCCCATACATACATGTGACAACATTACAGTCTACTAAACTCTCTGTTTCTCTCTCCAGACGAGTTACCTCTCCACATTCAGACAGGTTTACACTGTAGGCTATGCCACCTCGCTCATCTCCCTCATTACGGCCATTGTGGTGTTCACAGCCTTCAGGTAAGACCAGGACAGCACATACTGTCCCAGATACACACACAAACAGAGAGCAGACGCTGGACAAGGACAAGAACTAGGAGGGTCACTCAGCCAACATTTATGGAGTAAAGAGCCTAGACTGGGGTCAAAAGTTGACAATTGTGTGCAAATGAGGGTGAAATTCACCTGGAGGCTCTGTAGAGATTTGCTGACAAAATTGCAATGAAAAAGTGATGCAGTAGTAGGACAGGAGGTTTACTCTTTACCTGAAGGGGATGAATGTCTGTGGATGAGAATGTCCCTTGCCCCCAAGATTATAGGTAAAAAAAAAAAAAACTAAGTAGTGTTGGGCAAAGTCACATAAACTGTTGGAGGAAGGCATAGGATGCTTCTTTTTATGGGGATGCTGTTTTCTAACTGAGAGACAGTGTCAGTGGTGCAATTATAAAAGATAAGAGTATTTGTGCATATATGTGTATGTTGTTGTCCTTTCCATCTGTTTTTGCTTCTTTCAGAAAGTTCCGCTGCACCAGAAATTACATCCACATCAACCTGTTCTCCTCCTTCGTCCTGAGAGCCAGTGCCGTTTTCATCAAAGACACTGTGCTGTTTGCTGATGAAACCCTGGACCACTGCTCCGTGTCCACGGTGAGCATGCCAATTAGTCAATAATGTTCCCATCATAAAGCAGATTCCCACATCTGCCGTGTGATTGAGTTAACAATGTACAGAGACAGGAAAGAGGGGGAGACACGTGGCAAACTGATGAATGGCACCTGTCTTTTCTTAGCAAATTCCTTTCATTAGTCGACAAGATTGATGAATTCTTCAACACAGTTTAAACACAAAAAACTGCAAAATTGTTTTATTTTTTGAAGTTGTGGAGGAAGTGTTGACAAAGTGAAATGATGAACTGCACACATCTATAATTATTGGATATGTTGTAGTGACTTTTTTGTTCTTTGTGTTTGTGTAGAGGCAGGGCCATCCTTTCAGCCTGTAGTATTTTCCTCTTTGATTGTTCTAAATCAATGTAGACTCTTTTTTAAAAATTGTCTTCAATATTTCGGTATTTCAGTCATTATTGCTTTTGCACTGTCATGGTCCTTCCTCATCAAACAGGTTCAAAAGGTTTCCATATTCCATGATTTCTGTCTTCTGTGCATTGTTCTGAGTCACTGATGATACGTATTATATGTTTGTAATCCATAATCAAAAGAGTCTTACACACACTGTGGTGAAAATTGCTTTTTGTGTGAAACCACAAAAAAATAAAAAATAATAGACTCAATCAATAATCAGCCAACAAATCCCCCCAGGATGTCTGTAAGAGTGGTCTGACATTGAATGAAGAATACACATGCAATAATTGCCCGAACATTGAAGGCTTTGCTTTTTAAATCAGAAGCAAAGATGACTAAACTTCTCTGAAGGACCAGAGATCCTAATGGAAACAGTGAATTACAACAGGAAGAATAAGATTTATATGACTCAAGTCACAAATATAACAGTAAGAGTATATTTTCTTTTGAGGACTTGCACAAAAAAAATGTGAAATTGAAACAAACCATTTGCGCTCTTGTAAAACAGAATTTGTTTGGATAAAAATTGAGGAAACTGCTTTACAAGTTGCAAGCTTGTCAAAACTTTTTTCCTTCCTTTTACAGATACGTCTTAGCACATCCCAGAACCCAGTTTTCCCAGCTTCTCAAGTCATAAACTAGAAACACAAACTCTTCAAAAGCTTCATATGCTCACATTTTTGCTGCAATGGCTGCAGTGATGAAGGGCGAAGCATATTCATAGACACATGAGGAAATATAAAGACAAAGACCATATTTGCAATATCATTGCTGTCCACCATGAATCCCCAAATTTGGTGGTTTTTGTTTAATCTCTGTTATGGGTTGAGAAAATTCTCCTACATCTTAAACTAAATTAACCATTTAAAGCCCCTACAAGGAACTATACGTGGCGTTTCTACCGCCTCATTTAATTAATTTCTAGGGGAATGTGACCTAACCTGACCCGTTGGCAGGCATTAGGAATACCAATATAGAAAAAGCTGATGGTGTTTGCTTATGTAGGTCATATGGAGGCATCAGTATTAAACTGTGACATAACCAGTACAAATAGGAATACACAAATACACAACTTTCACATAACTATAAGTATAATGCCATTTCAAGATATAAACAAAAATAAACAACAGCAAGTGAGATAATTATCTCCATTTTTGGGCTGTGGGTTTACTTTTATACTGTGTAACAGAATGGAATATGAAAAGGATGTGTTAGATAGTATATTATTATTGGATAGGAAAACTTTAATCTCTACTTGTCATCTTCTTCTTCGACACATGAGAAAAAGTTCTTAATGAGTCATCTGGATCTTCCTGCTATACTTCCTCGACCAAAACTGTGCGTGTTAGTTCGGCATTAAATAACTTTGATTTGTTGTGTTCCTCTCTAGACGGCGTGCAAGTCAGCCGTGGCTTTCTTCCAGTTCAGCATCCTGGCCAATTACTTCTGGTTGCTGGTGGAGGGTATGTATCTGCAGACCCTGCTGGCCCTGACCTTCGTCTCTCAGAGGAAATACTTCTGGTGGTACATCTTGATTGGATGGGGTGAGTAGGGATGCCTGAAAAGGTCATCTGAGGATGGCAAGCCCATGGCAGACTGACAATCAAGTGATGGTTGAATATATAATATTCATAACACATACAAACGCCTGATAAATTCATCACAGCGTGGAAGTTGCCTCAGGAACAAAACATGTGATCAGCTCTCAATAAATTACATAGAGTTATGGTTATCGATGATAGGAGTTCAATAGGAAGACATCGAGAAGCTTCATCAGGGGGAAACATTAACTTTCATACGGTGTGTTCAGCCTCTGACTGAACTCAAACTCATCATAAACTCTGGTTCTTTCTGTTATTTTCCTCCAGTCTCTCCTTGTTTTCTCTTTCATGTCTGTAAGTTTATAAAGTAGTTTCGTAAGGACCCTGGATATCGACTTGCACAGATTCATCTTTTCGTCAATTTTGTGTCACCCCGCATCTAAACACATTTTTCCACTGACTTTGTACACAATTATGCAACCTCTAAAATTGTATTTGCTTTCTGTGATACAAACAAAGTTAAGAAACTTAAAGAGGCTTAATGGATTAATAATGTGAGAAGCTTAAATCCAAGGACAATGAATGAATGTTTATGCATTAAGAGAGTTTTATAAGGGATGTAAAAATACACTCAACTTTTTTTTAATTCACAATACTGGGTGCACAATGTTTTATCATGATGTGATGGTGGTTTGTGATGATTTTAGTTTCTGTGTTAGATGTTTAGTGTCTTTTAGAGGCTGTCCATCTACTGTACATGTTTTATTCTCATAATAACTGACAAAGATTCAGCCTTTTTGTATGGCGATGTTTTGGAGGTACGCTGCAGAACTGCTGATTTGCCATTATTTCCATGCACAATAACAGAGAAAGCAGGAGCGAAGCAGCCTATGATACATAAAAACACCCTGCACATCAATTGTGTTTTTCCATTTGCTGGCACATGCCAAATTTTCTGTCCTGCAATCCTGTCACTGGTATATGTGCTGTGGAGTTTTTTTTTCTGCACACTCTGTAAACACTATATGACAAACACTGTGTGCTGTCAGCTTGTGTTGCAGTTGTTTTTTCACTTTGCTTCTTTGTTACTTGCAGTTATTTGTGACAGCACAGTCATCCTAATAATAACAAAAACCCATAATAATATTCTATCCAACACAACAGTCATTTATGAGACAGAGAGGTAGTGATTCAGCTGGTAATTTTTGATCCCATTCATTTGGGGTGATGCATTACAGTGCAATGGATTGTAAGTTTCTCCTGTTATTATGCACACCTTTTGTTATTGCACAATATATTCACATTTGGGTTGGAAATCTACGGTAAATCCAGACAATAATTCAGTCCCAAAAACCTGGAAACATTTTATTTACACAATAGCAGTGCCTGAGCAGCTATTGTGGCTGAACGTGCCCTTGTTTTTCCTGTGTTTTCTCCCTTATCTTTTGCTTCCCTGAGCTCTCTGCGGATGTTTTAAGAGCTTTCGCTCTGTTTGATTGTGTGTTGCTCAGTCAACTGTTCCGTTGTCCTCTCTTTCTTATCCCATTGTCTTTTTTTGTTTCTTGTTTGCCGTGTATTTTCCTGTTTAAGTCTGTACTCTCAAGTGCTTGTAGTGAAGTTCCACAGCCTTTGTCTGTATCCTTTCGGTACTGTTACCAGAATGTTTCAGTGCAATTGAGGAAGTACAGGCTGAGAAGACACCCAACAGTTCTGTTTATACAGCAGTAAAGGTGCAACAGCAGCATACCTGTTATGATGTTGTGGACACAGATGGTGAATTTTTCCTGAAACTTTTAGCCAACAGAACCTACACTTGATTAAACAACATTTCCAGAGAGCATGTTGGGCCTTTTGTAGTCAGAGTCAATAAGAATTTGTAATGGAGTATTTTTAATAGGAGATAGATGGACCTAATGGCAGGATGCGGTGAAGAATGACAGCAGGACTGATGCTCAAATCACCAGTCTCAGCAGTCTCATTAAGGAATAGTTGGTGCTGCAGCATTCAGGCAGACATGATCATTCAATTTTGGAGGCTTTGTAGTTTTTAGTGCAGTTATTGGACAAGCCACACCGTACAATAAAATGGTTTTAATTATATCAACAGACAACATACTGTAGGTCAAAATGAGGAGGGATGAAGGATGATGGAGGGACAAGTTAAAAAATAGTTCCCTCTGCCTCTGTCCATCAATCCGTGTTGAAGATAAGTAGATTCTGCAAGACTGGGATTCTTCTAAGTCTAAGTCTAGGTGCAGTCTTCATGTGACAAGTTTGTAGAAATTCCACAGGAAACTAATTGTATCCTCCTTTATAAAGAAGACTGAACAATAGGTTTGCTGAACCAGTTATATTTTTGGTGAAGGGAGTGATGTCTTCCTTGTCTTCCCCTTTGCTCTGGGGGTGACAGTCAGTTGGAAACTATTGAAAGGACTGCCATGAAATTTTGTCATCCTCTACCTTTTCATCTAGCACCCTCTAGGTTTATCAAGGAATTGAGGAAATGTATAAATCATTATACAACAGAAGGTTGTAGAACAAAATTAAAGTTTGCAGTTTCTTCATGCTACACACACAAAAAAAGATGATTTAATTCAGCTTAGCATTAACATACTGTATATATTAACAAACAAACAGTGTGGCTTATGCTTGTTAGCATTGTCATTGTGCTGATGTTGGCATTCAATAATTTATTCAAAGCAATGCTGTTCGGAAGTACAGCCTTACAGAGTCACTTTTACTGTAGACTCTCTTGTTTTCATGCACGGTTTAGATAACACCTCCTGTATTAATGAAGAGAGATGAAGAAGGGGGGCAGTCACTTTGTTAAACTTGATCACTAGAACTCACGTCTAACAGAAGTTTAGAACATCGTTCTTTTGTCTTATAATAATACTTTCAAATGACATTAGCAATGCCTAATGTACATTGTACATAAGTTTGACTGCCTCTCTTTAATAATTTAATTTATAATACATGACGTATTCTCCATTCAACCACATTCAAACCTGATTCAAACATTAAACTATGCACTTCTTGCTAAGGAACTTATCTCTGTCCTGAGGATCTGTGTTTTTACAACCTGAAAAGGAACCAAGGGAACCTCTGATGTGTCTTATCAGGTTCTTTTTGGTTTGTACCATCTTACCTCCTGCTTTTTAATGTGTGTCTGATTCTTCTTCTGGCATGGAGATGCAAGAGGGAGACAGATAAGTCTGATACACTCAGTAAGCACAATGTTTTATATGCCTAATAATATTTTCATAAAAAATGCAGTTTGGTTTGAGTGTTGTTCAGACAAATTTTACTTGACAGTAACACAAAGCATTAATAATTCATCTCTGCTCTTATGTTTCAGGGCTCCCATCAACAGTTCTTATACTTTGGGTATTGACCAGATTCTTCTATGATGACACAGGGTATGGAATATTACATGATACGCAGAAAAGCAGCTTGTTTTCTCAATATTTCACTGCACTGTAGGCTAATCATTTTCAACTTGAATATCATTTTAATGCCTAATTAAAATTGTTTTCATTTTTTAATTGCAGTTGCTGGGATGACACGGACAAAGTTGGTATTTGGTGGATTATTAAAGGACCAATAACAGCCTCGCTACTGGTGAGTGAAGAGCAGCGAAATTCATAGTTAATTTTGAAACGGAGGGTACTTCATTTCACTTGACTGTCACTTGATTGAATCATTTTGGCATACATGAAGCACGTGCCTTAACGTCCACTGTGGAGATGGAAAAAACGCCAGATCTGTATGGAGCAATGAGGAGACTGTAACTTTCCTCAAAATAATATGTAAAACAAATGCCATAATTTTTCCTTTTAATGTTTGACTGGTGCTCTTTTAATTATGTAATCTCATTGCACGCTCCCTTCTTCTGGTAAGGTATTAGGGACCCCACAGATGTATGACTTTACTGCTTTCATGGTAGCTTAACTCCTACTGGCTCCCACGCTACTTAAACCCTGCTGGCGGACTTTATTAGTTTTAATTGCCTAGCTAATTAATCTAACACTACCTCCATCAGTTGAAAACACCATCATTGCAGCTTTGCAGACAAACACACTGTTTAATTTATTCCTTACACTTGTTTTGGGATCTGGAAAGGTGTATAGAGTAGAGTATTGCTCTTAATACAGTCAGTCTAATACACACCACGTCAACATGTGGAGGAATCCAAATCAAATCATTTCTGTTCGGTGGAGGATTTAGCAAGTGGTCAATCAGTTTCTGTTTTATCCTTAAATGCCATTGAATTTAACATATTAATCAAAGTTTTCTTTTTTGGGCTTAGTGGGATTTTAGTGGGTTTAAATTGATTTCTTTGTATTAAAACAGTATTGTTTTTTATTTATCTCACTGTGTGGATTTTGTCATTTGGTGTGCACGTATTTCTACCAGGTCAACATAGTCATCTTCATCAACGTGATCCGGATTCTGGTTCAAAAGCTCAAGTCTTCAGCTATGGCCGGAAACAATGAAACAGGACATTTTATGTGAGTCACAACTTTTTTAACACAACTGGACCATGACGTTAAAGTTGTCCTTGTACAAACAACAGTTCCTTCAGAGGCACTTGCGTCAGGGAATTTAACCTTCTAAATTGTTACATGATTAGTTTTGGTGGAAAAGTCACTGTTCTTTGAGGGAACTTTACAAATATATTAATGTTATATTTCGGTAAAATCAGCAATAACAAAAGCTTCAACACAATAGAAAGGTAAAAAAGAGTTTGGGGAGACTAAGGGAGCTGTAGCAGCGAACGGTGTGTGCAAGAGTGTAGATCAGCAGAGCGACTAGTGAGAAGTGTCAGGCTATAAAAGCTGCCTTGTGCAACTCATAATGAGATTGGATGTTACCTCCCAGCAGGTAACCAAACAGCTGATGAATAGACCACTGATTGGGTGGGATGAAAGAAGCAGCTGATGCCAGTAAGCTAATGCAGGCCTGACTTCAGAGCTCTGCCTGAAACTAAGAAACTGCTTCAGATTTGATGCTCATTTTAGTTCAACTTCAGTTCTCTCTGGCATTTAAATATTTAGAAAGTTTGAGGATTTTAATGCCTGACCTGTTAAGAAATTATGAAGAATGAATGATTTATCACAGAGGGTTGAAGAATTAAACTGTTATGTGGGGAGTTTTACAGTATTTTGGTATTACGTAATGCCACTTACTAGTTTTATGACATACACATGAGATTAAAAAGTAATTTTAATAATGTGTAAAGTTCATGTTTGTTACTGTAATGGCTTCTTTCTACTATGAAGCAATTGTGCTGAGTTAAAACCGCTGAGTGAGAAATTTTAAGATGTTGGAAATGGATGGCAGTTTCTTTGGAGAGTTTACTATGGACAGGGGAAGGAGAGTGAATTGATAAAATCCCTTGATAAAATGCTGAAGTGCTGCGTCTATGAATCTACTCTGGGAGCCCAGAAATCCTGCTTTACTGGAATAAATCCCTCATTACGTTTGACATTTTGGTCGGTGCAGATTCCAGCTCAGCTGAATTAATTTAGAATGAGCGCAGCACATAAAAATAGCACCGGATACCAGAAATAGACGTCTCCTCTATCGCCGTGCGACAGGATTGTTCCACCAGCTCAATGCATGTGACTCCCTTTCAAAAGCTTCATCTCTTTCTTACAAACTTCAATCTGCTTCAGGCGGCTCTGTGATGTTAACACAAAAGCACAAATCTCAGGTGTGACAAAAGAGAAACACAATCCTATTATGGGCTTGAAAATAATCTGATGGGTTCTTCTTAATCTTTAATCTTTCGGCGGCCATGGCAGTGATGTTATTTTTGATCAGAGTGATTATTTAGTTTTTTAGAATATTCAGATGACTTTTGTCATGGCCGAAAAAGTGTTTAGCTTGACTGAGAAGCTTTAAGTCTGACATAACGATCAAAGAACAAGACCGTGTGCAGACATCTCTTTTGGGATTTTAACTGCTGTCTATTGCAGTGGTTCCCAGCTTCGTGGTCGGGTTCCCCACTATGGGTTGCCAAAGCTTCATGGGGGGGGGGGGCTTCTTGTTCCATGACCAAGCATCAGGAACAAGAAAACACTGAACTTATCAAAAAAAGAAGCCAATTAAGAATCAAATAAAATCACTCCTTTTACACAAACTACTTAGTTACTGAGATCCATTAAATACTAAATTATAGAAAAGGGACCCCTTTACTTTAAGTAAAAAAGGCGGGAACCGCAGGTTTATTGATCTGTGATAGAATATAAATAGAATATGTTTTGATTCAGCTGTGATCTAGATCATTAGATATGTGCCCAGATATATTAGCCCAGTGTATCACCTCTGTGACATGAAGTAATAAACAAACAAAAACAAAAAAGGAAGATAAAACAACATGGGTACTAATTAGTTATGATTTTGTGATTTTTGTGGGATATATTAAAGAGGTGGAGGTTTTTTTTTTCTGAACCACATGACTTGTAATGTAATGTAATGTCACCAAAATAAAACAACATTTATATGATATTTAGACATCAGTGATTTGAGCTAAGCTTTGAGCACAATGCATCTGGGTTTTGTATTTTGACATTTGAATCTATTCACTGATTGGCCTGAGGACGGAGTCGTTTTAAAGGTCAGTTTGTTTAATAAAGATCTGATATCAGCAACATCCGGTCTACCTCTGATGAAACTTGGCGGAATGATGCATTCTGCTTTTGTATCCTGGCATTTAGAAACTAAAACACTGATTAGACAGACACTGATAAAGCTGAATATTTCAAACTTTGAAAGGCCATCATTACTACTAGCTTACATTTTCTGATTATTTTGTTGTTGAGATGATACATTTCTTTAAAGCTCCTGAAAACTTGTACTATGAAAAAATAATAAGCAACAATCAAAGTCAGAGTAAAAAGAAACATCCTCTGTTATTATTTCTGAAGAGTTTAACACTGAGGATTATGTGTTTGAGCAGTTTGATTCAAAGTTGCTAAATCCTGATTGAAGTATGTGGCATCACATTTTTCAAACTGAGCCCCACAAACTTTAAAATACAAGAGCACAGATTAAAAAAGAAGAAGACAGAAATCTCTCATGTGAAACCACCCTACTGTTTTATGTCTAGCAAATGTTCATGTAGGACCAATCTCTCAGAGTAAAAAGCTGATTAAGAAAATGTGTTTTCAGGGCCTTTATACGGATTAGCACAAGGTTGTGCCTTTACGTTACCTGGACTGATGTTCAGTCTTTCTTCTTTCTTTTATTCCTCTATTATTTGTTTCCCTCAGGAGGCTGGCTAAATCCACGCTGTTCCTTATCCCTCTGTTTGGGATGCACTACACAGTATTTGCCTTCCTGCCTGAGAACACTGGAGTGGCAGCCAGATTGTACATCGAGCTGGGGCTGGGATCCTTTCAGGTACTGAACAACAAAGAGGGAGCAGAACAAAAAGGACAGATTTAAAAAACTATATTAAGATATAACTTAAAGCGACCAAAGGTGAACTGCTTATAGTAGAATGCTCTCAATAGGCCTTTTCAAAGAAGACATTTTGATTTAGTAGGAAAAGCACAGGTGTAACTATTACTATTATTGGATCTGTTCTATCTAAGTGTCTCATTAAGACATGACAGTGAGCTAGCATGCGAAGTACCAGGACCCTGAAAGTGAACAGCTACATGGATCATTTTTCTTTATTGTCACAGTTTCACACTGTGACATGTGGCAAAATGTCTTCCATGGAAAGGGCCTAGCTAACAGCTTCTTAAGCTGGCAATATTTATGTCTTAATACAATTTGAATAAAAGAAAGGTCATATGTTGGTCACTGCATGTCGAGTGAAGGGATAAAGGTCTTTTAACCCTTAAATGCATGAACTATGACAACTTCATGAACCTGTTCATATATACACACATAAATATACATAGACATAAAGACGTTAACTGTTACTTTAAATAACTGAACTAATGAACTAATTGAACTAACAAAATATTGTTTTTGTCACAAAAGGTTACATTTCATAACATAAATCAACTAATTTTCAACCTAAAAAGTTACTGCAGATGAAGATTATTAAAGAACACAGTCAGAGTAATAGCATGAATTACTGGCTAGTTGAAATATAGCTAGCAAAGCATGATGTCCAATATAGTGAACAGATGTTTAATCTTAATTTTCTCCTAACATGATACCAATACTTTTTTTAACAATTGTATTACTTCTAAGTTGTTACTTGATGTTACCAAATTTTAAGGCCTGGGTAGATATTCTTGAACTGCTCAGCATTTCTAGCCTTCTGTCGAAAAAGTTTGTGTTGCACTGGCCAGTGGGTGGCAGTGTATGGGATCATGCGCTCCACTGTGGTGGCTCATTCACAACTATACCATCAAAACCTGCATATACGAAAAAACTGCTTTTGAATAGTTATCCACTGTAGTGAGCACTATGTGTGAATGTTAAGTGTGGGCTGACTAATTTAAAGCTGTAGGTAACTATACAAAAATACATTTTTTGTCACATTTGCTGTAACTTTCACTAAATCCTGACTGCAGTACATGAGACACATAATCTGTGAAAAAAACAGCTTGAATCCACCGCATCTGAACGAATACCAGAAACCAACCAGAAAGATAGTTGATTCTTGAGTCTCTTTCCCAGGCGACTCAACAATCAACTATCTTCAAACCACCAAATCACACTGTTGTTGTTTGACAACCTGGGACAATCAAATATCTTTCCTATCACTCATTGGTTGTTTTTGTTGAGACATTGTGGATTCTTGCAAATGCTATAGGAGCACAAGGAGGAGCAAGAGAAACCTGATTTTTTTCACATATTATCCGTCTCATGTACCATGTATTTTTATAAAAGTTATCTACTGCAGCTTTAATTGGAATGTGCATATACGATTGTAGAATTATGATTTTAAAAGTCACCATGTCTCTTGTGTTGCAGGGTTTTGTTGTGGCACTGCTTTACTGTTTCATGAATGGCGAGGTAAGTGAATGGATTCCTGAACTGTACGCACAGTGGCTTTATCAAAAGCAATTTCTGTCTCCCGTACAGCTCTGCATGCATGTGCTTGTCTGCAGGTCCAAACAGAGCTGAGGAGGTGGCTGTGGAAGTGTCACAATCAAAATCATCTCACCCCAGCTAAGCAAAGTATTACCCAGATCACAATTCGAGCCCGCGGGGGGCTCGGGAGGCCTCCCTCTACTGGCAACATCTCTTCGGTATGACTTTAAGAGACCGTCAATGAGAGAAAAGTTGTTGTGAGAATGTCAAACAAAGTATCAGAGGCAGTCCTCAAAGCTCAGCCCGCTGATGACATTAATTCAACAACCCCTCTGAGGGAAGGCGGCCATAATGAACGCTGGTGAGTGATTGAGGAAATTATGTGCCAGTATGCATTATATCAGTGTCAACAGCCGCTACGACCCTGACAGCACACGTTTCTGAGCTTAATCAGTGCGGCCCGCCTTCTATAATAGTTGCAACCAAAAAATACTATATAGTAAAAGAAAACTGGTGCTTGATTTCTAAGTCATGGTGACATTGGAAAGATGAGACCACAGTGGATACAGAGCTGGCCATGAGCTCGTAGGAGGATGATTTCACATGGTTGTGTATAAAGTTTGGACTGCACAAGCACAAAAATTTGCAAATGTTGACGGATTATGTAGACACAGCTGAGGAAACAGTGGATGTTTAAACTTGGCTAAATTGTGTGAAACAAGCCTGACTTGTTTAAGCGTTTTGTGCTGCACTGAACGGAAGCAGTTAGAAATATGTGCAGGACTGATCTGGACTGAATGTGCTAATGGATTCCTGTGAAGCAAATTCCCCTGCTGTTAGACAGAATTTTTCAATCATGAAGATCCAGAGGGGCCTATAAGCGAATGTATTAAATGTTGTGTGTTTGCTTGTGTGTGTGTGTGTGTGAGAGACTGCCACATATTGGTACGTCATGTCTAAAGGACTTTTTATTTTGAGGAGTCGTCTGCTTTGATGAGTCATCTTTGAAAACACATTTGTGAAAATGTATACGCTTGTATTTTCTTCATCTGTCAGTTTTCATGTTGTTGTCAGATGTGATGAATTTCTTTGCACATTTGTTGCACTATATGGAGATACCAAATTGGTCGAGATGTGTCAATGTGACACAGGGCACCAAGCATTTAAATGGTAAAACGGCATCAAAATGGTACTGTATGACTGACACAGTGGCAGTGTCTGAAGATACACTATGTGTTTATATCCAGTGTTTTTAAAGCTCAACATTTCACTCATATGCAAGTTGCCCACATTTTGATTACGGAGGAAAAGTCAGATCTGTGCTTTTTTTTGTTATTTATTTTTAATAGACCATGAATAACGCATTGTAGGAACTGAACCATTAAGCACTTTGACAGTCATATTATGATTTAATGTTGCACTTTATAATACATTGGATATACTGTATTTTCAATGGTTGCTGGGCCTGTGTAGGGAAAAGCACAGTAATAAATGTGGTTTGAGACATATTAACTGCATTGTTTTTGTGTCTGACAATAGTAATTAGTAAGGAATTTCATCACATTTTGTAAACTCGGTTTCCAGATACCTTAATTTGAATTTTTTGTGCCCCAAAGCTCATTTAAAGGATACAAATTAGAAAAGAGGAAAATTAGGCTGTTGCACATGATAGCTGAGCAAAATAAATACAACACAACACAAGAGTTTACCACAGATAGATTTATTTTGCAGTCAAATTTACACAACCTGGGACATGAATGTTTGACACCAGAACGCATACATAAAACACTGTCACAAGTAGAACATAATATGGGCTTTATAGATATTCTTTTGACATTTAAGTTACTTATATCCTCATGAATGCTTGGCATTACATACACATGCATACAGACTACACTCTCTTCAACTTTCAAACATACACACACACACATACACACACTCTGAAGACAGCTACATAAACATACAAAAACACGGTCACAGACATTACAGGTCTTCATCAAGGGGTCCACCTGTGTGCCAAAAATATCCATATACATTTTACTGTATACATGATCAAGAAAAGACATCATTTGTACACCATGGCAAATTGATAGCAGGCGACATTTAAGAGCAGCTGAGCAACATCGGTACATTCAAAAATTTATTGGCAATCAATAGAACTCACACACATACACTCAACATCTGATAAAACTGGCTCAACACGCACAACTGTCAAAGAAAAGGCATCTAAATACAGAGATACGCCACATTCAGAATAGTTACAGTTAAAGGAATAGTTTTAGGACATTTTAGGAAATAAGCTAAACAAAGTAGGGTATTTGCTTTCTTGAGAGTTAGGTGAGAAGATTGATACCGCAAAGACTGGAAAATGAGGGAAACAAGTAGCTAGTAGATGTAATATTAGCTAATATGTAACAGCTAGCGGTTTTATCTACTAGCTGGGGGAAAACAACTGTTTATCTCCAGCTAGTAGATATTAGCAGCTCACTAATTGACAAATTAATCTGTACAATAACCGAAGTGTAAAAATGACACATTGCTTCAGCCGTGATTCCTTCGACAGAGCCAGGCCAGCTGTTTCCCCCTGCTTCCAGTCTTTGTGCTAAGCTAAACTAAACGGCTACTGGCTGTAGCTTCATATTTAGCATATCCCACAGACGAAAGTACTATCCGTCTTCTATGCAACTCTCAGCAGAAAAGCGAATAAGCATATTTCCCAAAATGTCAGACTATTGCTTTAAGAAAACATGTCGGGCTTTGACACATATATAAAGATTAGTGTGTTACTGTAATGCTAAATTCACTGTAAGAAGAGTGTGTGTGAGAAGAAAGGTGTGGTCAGCTTTAGATCAAATTAAGCTCAAAGTTACACTGCCTGATTTTGTTTTAGCACTCAAAAGTGCAAATGTCCTCCCATCTCAGTAAATGTTTTGAAATTCAAACAGTTCACAGTTGGTTTTGAAACTAAAGTAAGCAGTGAGGACATTTTTGGGATTGAGAGGGGGAAATACAAAAACAAAATAACCAACTTCAAACTATTTCAAAATTGCAAATCAGGCCTCATTTAGAAAAATCTCGTTTGAAGGCTTGTTTGCTGATTTGTGTAAAGAAAAAATACAAAAAGTAGATGTGAACAATGTTAAGCATGTGGCGTAAGAGTCCCTAAATGCCCCACCCCAACCCCCGTTTCATCCAAAATCCAAAGTAGAAGGCTCAAAAAGCAAAACCGATGCAAGTCAGATGTCCCCTTCCCTACTAAACTATCAAACTACAATTCTAACACTTGGTCGCCACCTTGTGGTAGATAAATATACAGCACAGACACGGTCAAGTAAGGAGTTTTCTACTCTTCTTTTCAGACAGTAACAGCTTTGAGACATGGTCGTTTCCATCTGAGCCGATTCAGACTCAGAGTGACGGCTGGTGATAGAACACGTAAGCAGCAGCAGTGTGATTTTTATCACACCCTTGTACACACTTTGTGTTTTATCTGTCGCAGTTGTTCCACCTTCTGAACTGTAACCCCTAATTCAAAATAAATACTTTTCTAGCCTATCTCTGATTATAGTGAGACCTGTTTCACAGTCACACAGCGTTTTGTCCCAAAACAGCAAAGCAGATGCATTAAAACAGATGCATCTCTTCAGTAGTGTGTGTTTTATTTAGCTTTTTTTTTAGAGGTTATATCTGTGTTTTATCACTTGCAATATCCTCTGCAGCTTTGGACAGCAATTTCCACTGAATGTTTTTGTTTTCATTTCAAATCAGAAATTAGACATTGTGTCACACAGCTCCCACTGTGCCCAGTTATGGCACTACATTTATGGCACTTTGACCAAGAAAGTCAACATCAGTCAGTGTAATGAAATCATACATCTGACATATAAGAAAGCATGTATACTGTACATTGAGTCATTTCACATGTCAGTGGTTTATGGAAAATAAATATACATCCTTATCTGTTCAACAACATCATCCATTTGAAAGATTCTACATTCTTTTAATGCTCTCAGATGACAATACAAAAAATAAATATCTTGAGTAAATATTGTGGATAAATCCTCCTGTACAAATCATTTCACATTTCGTCTCTTTAAATGATTTCCCCACCAGGACAGTTATTGTTTGTTAGCTTGTTTGTGCACAAACAAAATGACAGAAAGAGAAAATGGGCAACACTCCGCGATTGTCAAGAGCTGTTACATTAAAGCATTTTGTGTTGACTGTAATAACATGTACTGTTTCTATTTTGAAGCCTTCTATGTGTTTGACGTTGGCGCTGAAATGAAATGGACTTATCTTGAATAGATGATAGCTGTAACCAGGAGGCTAAATAGAGCAGTGATTATGTAGAGCTGTAACTCCAGTCTTGTAAAAAAATCATCATGATTCAAAAGAAAAAAACACAGCAGGACTCATTTCACCTAATGTCTAAGTAATTTAAAAAAGAGAAAAAGAAGAATTTCACCAACAAATAGGTAAAATATTTATCTATGAAGAAGCATAACTTTGAAAAAGTGATCCACAATAAAACACACCACTCTGTACATTCTTTGCAGGAAATTACTCTTTCTACACCTTTAAGATATCTGTTCATTGCACTGTAAATAAAAACGATAGCTATTTGTGACTGACTAGGCACTTTGGAATATGAGTGTAGGAGATGATTACTTAAAGAATAAATAAATGAAGAGCAATTTAATATGGCATGATGGTTTGAGGCTCAGAAAAAAGAGAACATCTTTATCCTTAAGTGTATGTTGAGGGTTTGATTTTCAATGCCTAAAATAAAATGCTGTACATATAAACTTATGGCACTATGAGGAGCTTTGGATAAAAGCATCCACTAAATGGCACATGTACTGTTTATGTTTAAAGTCTGCAAAGAACCTGTCTATGAAAGGGAAAAGCCAACTGGAGCAAACTATTGTAGTGCAGCTGAAGGCTCAACACTGACACTAACTGTGAGGATCAGTTCAGAATGTGGATTTTTAGTTTATTTATTTGATTTTTTATTAAATTTTTTATTCCCTCGTGTAGGCTACTGTGCTGTCCTCTACAGCAGTGGTTCCTAACCTTTTTGGTCTTTTCATTCTTTAAAACAATCCAAAGTCAAAGGTAAGCACTTCGACCAAAGAGTGATTTTACATTCTCAGATGGTTTAATTTAAATGTTTTTAGAAGCTTAAAGACGTGTAACTATCTGGTCATTTACAAGAGAAAAAGCTTAAATAAATGTCCTGAAAATAAACATAATTTAATGAAGCAGAAATATATTGTTCCTCTTTGCAAACTTGTTGTACCATCATCATGGTACATCTCACGGCCCCTCAGATTCATCTTGTCACCTTCAGGTTGGGAACCACTGCTCATTCATTTTGGCACTATGTTCTTATATATAGATATTGTGTGTGTTTTTATTTAATACAAACAAATAGTTCAGAATATAGTGGGTAGGATCTTCTGGGTCCTCAGGATACGTGATGAAGTCTACAGATTTGGGCTCCAGTTCCTTTTGTTTGAAAAGGTCATTACAATACTGCATTAAGCAAAAGAAATTCCGATCTAGACACCAAAAGTAACTATTTACAAAGTCCATGAGTTTTTTTAAATTATATATATATATCTTTTGACATACTCTGTACTTACGGCTGATTGTAGAAAAATGTTTAAATTTAAGATGAAACATTTAAACAATGAGCATTTCTACAAGCAAGGCGAACATTTGGTTGATATTAAACTTTGGACTGTTATAAGATCAGATCCAGTCAGGCAACCTATACGGCACTTTGAAGCACATTTACTTTACACACCAACAGCCAGATATGACCCCCTACAGTTTAACTATTGTTTTGTTTTTACAACTATTACTATTTTTGGCACCAACTAAATAAATTAAACAACAACAGGGGCTACACTTTGAATAAAACCATTGGTAGGAAGGGAATTTCTATTGTCTCGCTCATGTTTTAATTAATGGAGTGTAATTAGAGTTATCAGTAAAAATATTAAGTGCATCATTAATCATAAACAATCGCAATCCACAGAGTCAACTAAAATGCTCAGATAAATTCAATTATATTGTATATTCAAATTAAATGAGAAAGTATGAAAGCCGGCTTTGCACCTCCAATGAATCTCTTTCAGAAATATTTCATTATCTAAAGGCCAAACTACAAAATATAAGAGGTGTGAGGGGCCACTTTGGTCTGTTCTGGTTGGTCTGGATGTACGTAAGTGGAATGGCACCTTGAAGTTGACTCCTGCCAATCAGATGCTCAGGTGGGGAGGCTGATGTTGGCGTTCTCCGCCAGTGGGCTGGACATGCGTATCTGGGAGCTGCTCTTGCTGAGGATCGACAGCTGAGTCCCGCCGTTCACTCCACTGCTCGCCAACGAAGGGTGCCTTTGCTGCTTCAGGTCCACAGCAAAGTACCGGTTCACCGTCCAGCTGCGCCATTTCCTCTTGATCTCTGACTGCACCTTCAGGGAGAAACTTCACAAGGTCATTTTTAATGTACTTTAAGCTGTACCAGCTCCATGAAAAGGTACAGTACACTTAAACTGTCTGGGCAACACTTGAAGACATGAAGTCAACAGTTAGCTAATGATTCACAATATAATATAGCAACAAATGGCAGCAACAGAGGTTAGCAATTAGGTTGTTTGTTTGTTTTTGCAGAATGCAGACCTACACATGAAAGGTCTGTATTTTGTTTACATATATTTTGTCTGTTTATTTCTTTTAATTAGTTTTTTACATTAGTAGGTGAGGCAAGCATTTGTGTGCCGCACATTATTTTAATACTCATTTGGCAAAAACAACTAATTTATGTAAATATATACAAACATGTGTACACACACACACACACACACATACACACACACAGAAATTTTAATTATGGCCTAATGAAAGTACTGTTGTTTTTGTTGTTGTTGCTGTTTCTGTGTCATCAGTGAACCATGAACATGTCTTTATGAGTTTCGAACACATTTATAGACCGTTTTAACTGAATACTTCATGTGTGTTCATGTGTACAAACAATTAATGCAGTTTAGCATACTACTTATAGTTTATTTTGTTTTTGTTAAATTATACCTCATTAAATATGATTACAGCTATGTTATAGTGTGTTATTAAATCATTAACACTAATTAATTTTGTATTTAGGAGAAGTTGTAATTGTTGACACATTAATAAACAATTTAAATATCCTTATATTTACTCACATCTAAACTAAGGTATGTTATAAAACACTGAATATGTTCATATATACTATTTTGGTTAATAATTAGTACTCGTATTTAGAGATGTCTAGCAAAAAAAAGGCTGAAAAATAGCATTAAGAGCATTCCTGGTGTTAATGTGCGTCAGAAGTGAAGTGAATGTGTTTATGAACAGGGACAAAAACGTACCTCTCCATTGAGGAAACAGTAGAGCACAGCTACAACAAAGCCCTGAGAAGGAGAATGAGGACAACAAATAATATAAAACAGTTTGAGCTTTCATTTAAAAAAATAACTGCATCCTTATCAGCAAGTATTCAGTGTTCAGTACTCAGGAATTGTAATGTGTCATCAGTGTCATGTATCTTGGTCTGTAACATATTCTTCATGTTACATGAAATAATATAGGGCTGTTGTTTAGGAAATCCCACACTAATTCCACATTTATACAAATTGGCAAAAATATAGTGTCTTAAGTAGAACAACACAACATTCCTTTATCCATTTGTTGCGGCTAAGTTTTATGTTTTATGCTGGGAAATGTGTGTATCTTTTCATAAACCAGCTATAAATGTTTGGTAGAAGATTTAGTGCATTAAAAAAAATAAAGCATAACATTCAGAGCTGCAATTTAAGATAATTTGTGTTGATGAATCTGCAGATTAATAAACTGATTAATCACGTTGTCTATATAAAGTAAGAAAATAGTTTAAAATTCCTATCACATTTTCTTGCCCATCTATAATGAGGAGTAGGGAATCAGTGAATTGAGTTCAGACACAATGTGTGTGTTTATTACTGTGCTTTACTAGAGCCAATCGGAGACCCCAATTTGACAGCCAGTCTATGATTTTGTAAAGTAGCTTTGTTTTAACTCTTGTTTATGGGATCTCATCTTCCTCTGACTTGTATTCACTGTCACTGAATTTGTTGTCCAATATTGTTTTCATAGTTTCACATTTGCCAAGAGACCAGCTGCTGTCCTTCAATTATTTTGTGTGTGTGTGTTTAGCTCGCTGCACAGCAGTACATAGTGGGGGCAGAATACTAGCTTCGAGTATCACTAACACTCTCCCAAAGAGCCTCCTTGTACCTTGTATACTCAGATGATTTATTATCCCATTATGTTCTCTCATTCATCATCTGGTATTTCTCTTTAATTGAATCCGGACGTTCGAGGAGCTGTAAGAGCTAAAGCGTACCTGGAAGGATCCCAGTCCCAGTTCAAAGACCAGTCTCTCCCTCTTGCTGACATCTTCAGGTGAGAAGGCAAACACAGTGTAGTGAATACCAAACAGGGGGATGAGCAGGAGGGTGGAACGTGCCAGACGCCTACACACACACACACATACACACAATTTAATAAGATTGCAGTGTAAGTCAAACACACTTCAATGTCATGTTTAACTGGTGATGGTCAGTTGCATGTGATGCAACATCAGGACTACTGATGCAATGTTATGACAGATTTTCTGCCTTTGTCTGTTGTTAACTAGTCATTTATACACATTTTTGTGTAAATAAAAAAAAATTAGATTGAATGATTAAAAAGAAGTTCATCACTCTTAATATCAAGTTCAGTCAAGGCATTAGTGTTGTTTTAAAATGCAGGCTCAGTAACAATTTTATGATTATTTCTAGTGTTCACATTTAAAGATAAATGTCAACAAATCTCATAAAAAGACCAAAACCAACAATGAACTGATCCTACTAACAAGTATTGCCTCTGTAGCCAAAGGCTGATGTTATTCCTCTGTGCAATAGAGCTCCATTGTTGTGCAAAAACTATTAAAAACATAAATGAACCGCACCATTGCACTGGGTGGCACTGTAGTTTATTTTGAGTCAATTCCACATACACCGTCCTGCTGCCCTGAATACTCAGAGCTACTAGAGCATCAAATGTGTATTTATCTGCATCTCCTGCTTGAGTAATGTTTGCTAAAAACACACAGTATAATACAGTGACCAGCATTTTAGGAAATTACTTGAAAATTGAAACTACACATTTATTACCCAGTTTTATAGATCTACATATTCAGTAAGAACAAATTAACAAGGGGGTGTGCGCCACAGACAAAGTGGGGAAGTCAGAAAGTATTTAAAGATTGGTGTGATTGTTGTATGTTTGGAATTTTATAGGATTTGTTGACAATAAGAAAAATAATGAATAACATCAGCCCTATTATTATCTTTTAGGACTGAGATTAGATTTAGTGTTCTAATCTATTTATAGGTGAAAATCATCACAAGATTGAGACCGAGATAAGAAACACAGAACTGTTGACATGTGCAATAGATCATATAGTAAAATAGATTATTTCTGTTCAGCATGTATCATGCAGCAAAACACAATGTCTAACATACACATAAGGAATGGAAATACACAGAAACACATCATATGGCACCTTAAAATAATAGAACACACACATGTGTAACACAGTGGTTTTTACTGTGCAGTCCAGTGACCCCCAGGGGTCCTTAAGGAGCAGAACAAAACCAGTATTCTCTGAACTGAGTTCAGTTCAGTTTAGTTAAATTGTGATATGTGATATGTTACATGAATTTAATATGAAACACTATTGTGATCAGAACGTAGATGTAAAATTTGGGCTACTGTTTCTTAACTTGCACCAGTAAAACAACTAAACAAAATCTGAAAACCTATGATTTATTTTATTTTTGAGCAGATTTACAAAATTTTGTGTGTATGTGTTTGTGTGGTCTTGTACGTCTATCTTTGTGAGGACAATTTGGCCGTCCTCACTTTGGGTTGGACATTCGAAACGCTGTTTAAGGGGTTAAGGGGAATGTTTCAAAAATTGGTCCTGTATTGAGCAGTAGTGCTGCAGCCAGCAGCCGTGAAACAGCCTGCAATGTGTAATCCTTTGGGACAATTGCGGATCATCAATATACATCCACTAAAAGTGCTTGTTTTTGCCACTGACAGGCTGAGATTGTTATTATAAATGTCTGACAACATTATGGAAAGGATCCAGAGATAGACTTTTTGTTAAAGAGTAAGATCCTTTTTGTTTGATCAGAAACAGCCGTTCAAAGCCACCAGACTCCTTTGAAAAAAACAGTAATTTTATGTTGCATGGAAACCATGGGAGTTGCTGGTCTATCGCTGCCTTCATTGGTTAGTTTGTTTATGTTATTGTGTAACTTTGGTGAGTTCAAAATAACATGTTAAAACACCACACACTAACACAAACTAACAAACCGACCTATGAATTGGTTTTAAGATTCAAGTTAGAATTAGGGTAAGGTTCAGTTTAGGGTAATTGTTAGGGTCAGGCATGTAGCTGTGATCATTAAAGGTAAAGGTTTAGGTGCTAGAGGAGGCATTATGTCATGTCAATGACAGTCCTCACAAGTACAGAGGTACCTATGTGAGTATATGTGTGTGTGTGAGGGAGTATGCATTTGGGAGTTCAGACCAGTAAAAAAAACTCTAAGAACCCCTGGTGTAAAACACACACAGACACATATACTTATACACATGCGGTAGACACAAGACAGACACACCTAAACACGTGTGTTGGTGGACAAATACACTCTCACACACACACACACACACACACACACACTTACAGTGTGATGGTGGATAACTCTGACATCCTGCACGAATGCTGAACAGCCTGTGTGGGCTCACTGAAGCATTTCTGAGCACAGCTGCTACACAGCACAAAGACAACACAACAATACAACAAAGACAGTGTCTTTAGGGACACAGACACACAGTCTCACACAACACACCCACACCCACCCACCCACACTCACTCACTCACACTGCACACAAACTTTTCAATGACCTCTGCAAGACCAGCTGTCTAATCTACAGGATGCTAACTTACTATTCTTAGTGAGGAAGGAAACGAGCAGGCAACTGTAACTGAGAGGGCAAAAAAGAGCCAAGAAATGGAGCAGTCAGTTCAGGTACACAGTACATACACCTGAACGGAGCCAGGAGATATTTGGATGTGATATGAGGCTGGATATCAACAGGGCTTCTAAGCTATCTTAAATGCAGCATTACAGTTAGACGATAACATTTATGTTTTAGCTGAGTGAAGTGAACAATGAATGCCTCTACCTACCCACGTTACAAAAGAATCTCTGACACCATATCACCCACCTCTAGTTTAAGTCGACTATTCTAACAAATAAAGGCTACAACTAATTATTATTTTCATTACACATTTATCTGTAGTTTATTTCTGAGGTAAACCATTTAGCCAATAAAATGTCAAAGAAATTAGAGAAAAATCTAAATTCTCCAAAGCTCACGATGACTTCTTCAAATTGATAGATGAAAGATAGAACCAGCAAATGTTGGCTATTTTTGTTTGCTTATTATTCAAATTGTTTGTTGACTGACCAATCTACTAATTGTTCCACTGTGTGAAATGAATAATGAATGCCACTACCTGCTTGTAGTACCATTACACCCCATGATGGATTTGACCCCAGTAACAAAACCCTCTACAAAGGGTTTCCACCAGTGTTGTAGAAAAAGAGCACAAGCCTGTTTTACACAACTAATGCCTACATTTAACGACGCATTCTCTTTCTATTATACGAGTCCACTGGAAGCAAACAGTTGATAATATTGTGTTGCTGTCACTCAGATGTAAGACACTGTCATATTGGATTTAGTCAATACTGGCCAGCTTTACATCTAGGTAAAGTAGTGCTTGAAGTTCTTCACCGTAGTCTTCACTTCAACTTCAGTCAATAAGACCACACTCACAAAACACAGAAATCCAGTAATACTGCATAAAATATAATTAACATTCCTGGTCAATTGCTTAATGAAAAACAGTCACACTGAAAACCAGCATGCAGCAGTCGGTAAAGCTTTACCACTGGCGACTTGCAATCACAGTGTCACCACCACTTAACAAGGAAGTTGGTTAAATTGCTGCAGCGAGGACCATAAAAGTGCAAACGGACACTCAACCTTTCCAAGAAGTTAACCACCAGCTCTGAGGGAGGGGTACTGCTCGACAGCTTCGCTTCACGGCTTCTGGAAATCTGTGCACTTTGATTTCTCTCTGAGTACACTATACTGAGTACACTATACTGAGTACACCTCACAGGTCCTCCCTGCGTGGAGAGCGAGCGGACGTGCTCACCGTTCAAACAAAAACACTGCAGGTGTAACCGTTGGAAGTACACAGAGGAATAGGGAGAAATGGAGAGAAAGAGCGAGAGAGGACAGACAGGGAGGAGGAGCGAATATAAGAAAACCCCAGCTCCTGTGTGTCAGAGGGACACACCCGTGGTGTACTCTGAAAGCCCGTCATTACCGAGGCTCACAAATGATAGCCCTGGCTAAAACAACTGGCTGAGCAGCAAGACTTTAGCTCCCACAGGCAACATGGCTCGGAGCAAATTCGAGGCAGCCAAAGAATTGCCAACTTATTTTTTTTGCCCCTCCTTTTCACATCTTAGAGAAGGGACATTTCCCAGAAAACAGCGTGTCCAAACTTGCTCACAATCTTTTCCATCTCTGTTGCAGCAGGTCAAGGCAGACATGCCCGCAGGGTGTTTGGAGAAATATGACAAGCAGCCAGGTCCACGCTGCACTGAAACTCAGCCATCAGCTGATTATACCAACTCAAATCAACCAGTCAGTCACTTTAAACAAAGCTGTCAAACACCAGGTTGGTGTGTGGGTCGTTCCTGTGCAATTATTT